TTGATTTTTTTTGTCTTTCCATGATCCAGTAGCTTCATGCTTTGTAACGTGTGTTCGCATACCCATCGGCGCACTCTCCTGAGCAGCTACCTACACCCCTTCTGTTACCCGGGACTGGCTGCATTAGCACTTCATTTCAGCTACATATGTATGGGAGCGGCATCATTCACAAACAACGTTCCTCATTTTGTGTGAGCTTCAAAGATTCAACCCCAAGGAAGGGCGAAAGGTTCACCAACAATCTGGACACTAATGAATATTCGGAATGAAGGGCGAACGGTTCACACAACCAATAACTCGAGCGGAACTCCACTTTTTTTTTTAACGCACTACACACATCGCTATATATGTTGCGATGCCTTCCTGTATTCCTGACTTACTGCTATTACTACCACCGCTGATTGCATCATCATCGGTGATCGGACAAATGGGGACCAACCTCCTGCCTGCAAAGACACGGCAGTAGATCCTCGGCATTTAACAAATGGTGTCACGATCTATTCTCTAGAACGTAAAGGTTCAACGAATTCCAGTACTAGAAGCTCTCTTTAGGAAATCAATTGTTGTTGTTGTTTTTCTTCACATTAAACTCGTGTCAGTTGCTACTCCCAAAATCTAGCAAAGACTCGGCCCGTGGTCACAAACATGCTAAAGCCATCAGAAGATCTAAAGAACACGCACACTATTAGCAAGAAAAGGGTACACAAGCCCAAGGAGGTACACCTACAATCCCTGCAGCACGTTTGCGTGCTCACAACTGACCTACACGCCCACACACTACAAATCGACTACAGCAGGCGGCATCGCCCCCCTTGTCCCGCACTTCACCAAAATGAATGTTTGTCGACTACAGCGTACTGCTGTCTGAAGTGCTGTCTGCACAAAAATAACACCATGGTGTATGGTGCAAAACAAGCTCGGGGCATGCAGCTGCTGTCTGAAGTGCTGTCAGAATGGGTCCGTGGACATACAATGAAGAAGAACAACCAACCAAAGCCATCATCATTGCACTTGACAATCGCCCGAATCTATCCAGATCATCTGTGTTAGACACAGCAGTGTAAACATCGACACTGACTAGGAATCGTTCCATATGGAAGGGGTCTTCCACGATGCAGGTACACAATTAAGGCACCCGGGTTATCCGCGCCATCTCTGCCGCGTCTCTCTACAAAACCAGTGACGTCATCACACATACCTAACACCTACCGTATATGACACAAGATAACACACCCCCTTGGCCGATTTTCAAAGCTCGATTTCTCAACAGCAGGAAGAGTCACAGCGCCGAAAACGGCGGCGTTGGAACCGTCTCGTCGAGAGCTGTTCGAAAACGTATTGTTTCATTTATGCATCCTCTTCGTCGTGGAGTAATCGAGCTTTGAAAATCGGTCCAGGGGGTGTGTTATCTTGTGTCATATACGGTATATTCAGGAAAAAAACGGAGAATAATTGACAACACAAGAGATGTTTGTCCGTGCGACACGGTTCGATGCCGTCCGGCTGCTCCGGTTCCGCTGCTGCTCCGGTGCCGCTGCTCCGGTGCCGCTTCTCCGGTGTCGCTGTGGCCAGTCCTAGCACGACCAAACTCGACCCGCTCCGCTTCGTACACGCTCTCGTTGCTGTCCTTCCCAGTCGGTTCCTCGCTTTCTCCCTCGTTGCACTTAGGGTTCTTGGTCTGAAAATTCTCGCGCCGAAGGGTCAACCAGCCCAGTCAGCTCGTCACCACCTGTCCACTCCTCATTTGATGGCAAAACCAGGTTACTGAGACAGTACAGCTCCCTCTAGCAAACATAGGGCCGTGTACATAGTGCCCGTCAACCTTTCTGGTGGCGTCTGCCTCCGCGCACAAAGATGAGATGGGCATTGCTGCCTGCACCGACGGCCTCGAGGCCCGCGCATCATCTGCACCTTTGTACCTGACGCACCAGTGCCGACCCAACTCCACCACTACGCACGCCTCGCGGCGGGTGCGCCTTGTAGCAAGAAGGTATCGGTCCCTTGAGGGTGAGTCTAGCCCTGCTCGCTAGAAAGACCCCCCCCCTCGCTTTGGGTCATGCCTAAGCAAAACCTTGCCGAGGCAGCGAGGGGAAGAAGGGATAAGTTTCATACAAACGTGCGGAAATTGCGTGGAACTTGCTCCATGGGCGGTGTATTTTATTGTTTCTCGCAGACTGCTGTCTGTACGTGAGTTCGTGTGTGCTGCAAGTCCTCCTGCTGTCGTCCTGCTGCTGATGCGACCGCTGTTCGTGTGCACGTTAATTCGTGTGTGTTTTAGCGGCGTCTTTGATGCAGGTCCTACTGCTGCTGCTGTAATCCGCTGCGTTGACCACTTGCTCTCGTGCCGTGGTGCTGCCCATGCTCTGTGGGACTTGTGTGCTCTAATTCTTCTGTTCGTTCGAAAGCACCGTCAAGCACGCGCGCCACGGGTGGGTTGCGGCCCTTGGGCGTGCGCGGTAATGTACCGACGACCTTCGTGCGCGCCCATGAGAAAGAACCGCGAGAAAAGATTGACTTACGCCGGCGAAATATGTCCCGAAGCACAAAAACAGGCGAAATGATTCATATAATACATATACGTTGTATTTATTTGGTGCTCACGCACGCATATTTCCAGATTTCGTTTATGCCTACAGAGCCGTTCTCCCTGACGGGTGGACGGGCCTTTACCGAGCGATAATACCAACACAGCACACACCCACAACCTAATGAAATCAGGTACGTGCATCCTGTCCCACATTCATTCACGGCACGCAAGGAGCACAAAGATAACGGAAAAAAAGGACGATTGCATAGTTTTCACTTGCAGGAAGGGATCATCGGCTTTCTCACCCCCTTCCCATGATTGGCACACAAGGTACAATGCTCCTTGGTTTGTGACTTGCGTGTTTTAGACATATGCACCGGTAAGATAAAGAGTGAAATCAATACCCTTGACGGCCAAAATTGCCATTCTAAACTAAGCGTTTCATACCAACCAGGGAAACACACCAGGGAAAAATAGTAACACAACATCAAGCAAACACGCCCATACAACAATAGGTACCCACGTTGCTCGCATCCGAGGCAACGATTTGAATCCCACATAGAAAAGCAGCAATTACTCCTGACCATTACATGTGCCGATCCTGTTTTTCTACTGCTGGATCTGGACAGCGCGAAACCAAGCCCTATGTATCACCAACGCTTTCCTCGCGTTTGATAGACGATCCGATACCCCCATGGATTGCGGATCGCCGGACTTCTCGACTTGGCCCCATATCTCAACTAACCAAAAAGCCCTATCCTCTTTCATTGCTCCTCATAAATACATCGGAACCCCCCGAAACACAACCAGTTCCCTCACCCAAACAAAGAACTCTAACATTTTTTTTGGCGCTCCGTCGTATGTCGACGAAGCGAACGTCCCTCGAGAATCCCGCCTTGGGCGGGACGGAGAGAATGAATAATCTGGCTACCTGCGAACTATGACATGTCCTAAACACCAACCGCACGGCGGCTAACACACCTAACCCAAACCTCGCAGGTTACCTATATCAGTGTTTTTTTTTACATGCGAGCTCATCGCTAATGGTGACAACCCCGCTCCCCCCCCCCCCCCCCCC